GAAGCCCCCAGGCACTATTTTAAGTTTACTCATTTAATACAACAGCCTCTGAAGTAGGTACTACCATTATCCCCAATTTACAGATGAAGCCCAAGGATGTGAAGTAACTTGTCCAAGATCACATAGCTCCTGCAGAACTGAAAACTGAGCCCCGGCAATCTGGTGCCAGAATCCACGCACTTAATCATCAGACTATCTTACTGCTCTATGTGTGCGATGCGTCACTCATCGGCAGATGTACTGTACACCTACTATGTGCCAAGCACCGTGCTGGGAACCATTTGTTTAGTGGTGAGAGAATTTGAAAGTCCTGAGCTCATGAGCTCCTAGAATACATATAACAGCCGATGGAGACGGAGTTCTGAATCAGCATTTTACAATGCAAATTTAGGGAAAATAAATGATTAAACATTCATGGTACCCTATTTAATGCAGCTGGAAGGGGCTCAGGAAACCTGCAGTGTCCTTGCCTTATTTATGGTGAGGGCAGTGGGACGAGAGAAGAGGATAAGACTGTGGACTCAGAAGCCAGGCTGCTCATAATCAAATCTGGGCTCTACCACCTCCCAGCAGTTCAACCTCTGACAAAGTCCTCTCACCTCCGGGATACTCTTCCCTCATATGTAAAATGCGGGTAACAGCACCCACCTCCGAGGGCAGGGCACCTAGGGCACAGCCAGGAGCAAGTCAGCGCTCAGTGTTAACCAAGGGGCGAGAGGGCCTTCTCGGCGCAATGCTGACGCCTGGTGGCCAGTTTACATGCCAGCTCTTCATCCTGTGAAAATAGTCCCAACCAATCACGGTTGACCCTTGAAAAAGAGGTGGGTGGGTAGGGGTGCTGATCCCCACTTTCCCCCTCCCGCAGTTGAAAATCTGCGTATAATTTATAGTGGGCCCTCCAAGTGTGTGGTTTGGCACACAAAGATTCGACCCACCACGGATCGTGTAGTGCCGTAGCATTTAGTACTGAGAAAAACCCTTGTGCAAGTGGACCCGTGCACTTCAAACCCGTGTTGTTCAGAAGGTCAGTGTGCGTCCATTTTCTGTAACGTAATACCTCAGCCCTGGACTTCTCTCTTCAGATCCTAAAGGGTTAGGGTATTCTGCACGTGTCACTGGAATAATGCTCTTTCAGCCTGGGAAGCAGCTGCTTTAAAGTGAGATGCCTTGCAAGGTAAAAAGCACAGACGCTGCCTGGGAAATAATTGTTACTGCTTCTTGAACACTTATGTGAGGCAATTTAAACCTCACAACTGCTCTGCGAGGCTGGTCCTATGATCCCCACTTTATAAATGAGGGAACTGAGTCTTGGAGGGGTTCTGACTTGCTCAGGGTCACCAAGCTTGTGAGAGGGGCTGGGCTCTGAACCCAAGGCCTGGTCCGAGGGCTGGAGTTCGTTTAAAAATGCAGAATACAGGGCTTCCCTGGTGGCGCAGTGGTTAAGAACCCGCCTGCCAATGCAGGAGACACGGGTTCGAGCCCTGGTCCGGGAAGATCACACATGCCGCGGAGCAACTAAGCCCGTGTGCCACAACTACTGAGCCTGTGCTCTAAAACCTGCGAGCCACAACTACTGAAGCCCATGTGCCACAACTACTGAAGCCCGCGCACGCCTATAGCCCATGCTCTGCAACAAAAGCCCATGCACTGCAACGAAGAGTAGGCCCCACTCACCGCAACTAGAGAAAGCCCGCGTGCAGCAATGAAGACCAGCATAGCCAAAAAAAAAAATGCAGAATACAGAAATATATAAAGTGAAAAATTTGAGTGCCTTTATCTGCCTTCTCTTCAACCCATTGCTCAGAGTTTAACTGTATTTGTCATGTATCCTCGCAGCTCTTTTTCTATTCCTTTCAAATATCCCACATGCCCATATAGATGCATATGCTCTTTTCTTTAAAAAAAAAAACAAAAATAAGATTGTTCTGTACATACTAGTCTGCAAGTTGTTTTCTTTCACGTAACGTCCTAGAGGGCCTCATTCTATAAATTGGCAATTTAAATGCCTTAGTGTTTCCAAGAACCCTTCATAAATCATTCTGAAGAATAAAAACCTTAGATTGTGCAACGAACCACTCCCTAATAACTTTGCATGTTGAACCTCTGCCTCCTCAGCCCCCAGCAGTTCGGCGTCAGCTGAGATGTGGGGTAGCTGCGGGGTCAGGAGTCAAAAGGCACTCCTGTGTGATTCTTCGCCTGCGGTCTCTCTCTCTCTTATCCCTGACTTCCACCAGAGAGGTAGTAAGAGGGAGGGTGCCTGTATATTCTTCCAATTAAGCACAAATAAACTCTGAGCATCCTTCTTTTCTTTGGTAGTTTCATTCATCAGGAAAGCCAGATGATTTTAACATGCAGTGAGAAGGTGCTGGAATAGAGGAAAAGACTGGGATGTGATAAGGCCTCTAGGGGCTCTCAACGTGAGTTAAAAATAAACAGCACTAAACTGTGAAAGAAGTGTGAGGAGGTCCAAAACTATGATTTTCCTCTTGATGACTGCGATAAGGCTTTAGAAAATACACAGGTTTCCCCCTTCCTGAAAGTTCACGTTCCACCACTTTGCTTTTATGAAAGCCCTGCGTTAGTACCTGCTTTTGCTAACCGAAAGAAATCCAAAGAGAATTTTCATTTTTACGAGAAAAAAGCCGTTGCCATACTAATGTAGAACTTCATAAAAGTGCAGTGGCTTAGTGCAAACTTTCAAAAGCAGGGGATACCTGTACATATATCTAAGTCAAATTTCTTTAAAAAAAATCGGGGGGCCTCTACTTTGTCAGGACTCACGGAGATGCTGAGAGTCAGATGCTCAGCAAACATTCAGTGAACACCCACCGTGCACCCGGCTCTGGGGCTCTCACTGGAACTCAGCGAGCTGGGCACTCAGGTCTGCACCTCACAACTGATTCCAACACAGTACATTCTGTTGTTTTGTTTTGTTTTGTTTTTACAATGCATTCTTTCAACTTTGATTCAGTAAGTGTTTACTATGTGCCAGGCCAGCAGTGTGCTAGAGCCAGTTCCTACAGTGAGAGTTGATTTCTAAATTTTCAGGACTACTGAAAACCAGAAACAAACACAGCCATTATTAAGAATTAAGTTCCATAAATTTGGGCTTAAATAAATTGTATTAAAAACAAAGGTAGTGGGGCTTCCCTGGTGGCGCAGTGGTTGAGAGTCCGCCTGCCGATGCAGGGGACACAGGTTCGTGCCCCGGCTGGGCCCGTGAGCCATGGCCGCTGGGCCTGTGCGTCCATTGCACATTTTTCTATCATCTACGTTCTTGACGTTATTTCCACCTATTGTGTCTGACTGGTGGGTGTGCAGCATCTCTTCTCTGTGTGAGACCGTGCCCCACAGGGTTAACAGAAATCCTTGAGTGTGTCCTACCGAACAGCAGATAAGGGAACTGGCTGTTAGAAACCCCTCTGCTTGCAGCCTCCTTTACTGATGAAGCCTGCTTATTTGTTTGTTCTTCCATTCTCTAACTGCATCCCCACCAAGCTTCACATAGCCTAGGTACTGTATCACCAGACTTCTAAACTACTCTTATAGATAATGCTTCTGACGTATGGGTCACTATAGTAACAGGGGGCTTGTTTTTGTGAACTTTGGAGTTGGCTCCTGCCCAGTTCAGACCAGCTAAAACTAGTTCGGACCACCGACCCTAAAACTGCGCCTGCGCAAAACACTGACGGCCTCACCTTTTCCCTGTCTCCGATCACCTTTCCCCACACCTAAGACCACCCTGCTTCTTTATCCCATAAATATCTCAAGCCTTTGGCCTTCTGGTACGCGGGCCTGAGATTTGTTCTCTTGTCTCCTTCCATGAGGACCTCGTCAACAAACTCTCTGCTGCCAACTTGTGTCTCCGTGTTTGGCCTGCTGCTCCGGCGGCGGGGCGGGGCACACAAACCTGGTTTGGTAACAAATGCTGAGTTCAGTTTCCTCATATTGGTGGCTTGAAATCGGCCATGGTGGGAGTATTTACACCAAGGAAATCTACAGATCTACGAATTAATTCCTTGTTGACTGTTTACTTAAGGAAGTGAGTGGGGAATATGTTAATAATGCGGATTAAACTTGAATATGTATGGTGTCTGCAGCCTTTACCTCATGAATAGCACAAGTTGAGGAAATAACTCTTCCAGTACTTGACACAATTATTCGACTCAGCAGAGAAGTTCCTTACTCATGTCATCAACGTGTGAGTGACGCTCCAGAGGAGGAAAGTAACTGAAGAAAGTCTGGAAGCGGTGAAGAGCCAACGCTGGGTTTCACTTTACTTTTTTTTTTTTTTATTTTTTTGGCCGCGCAGCACAGTATGCAGGATCTTGTTAGTTCCCTGGCCAGGGATGGAGCTTGCGCCCCTGCAGTGGAAGCGTGGAGTCTTAACCACTGGACCCCCAGGGAAGTCCCCTATTTCACTTAACTCTTAACGTAAAAGAAAATCAGCCAACATTCGGGTCATAGCTATATTCCTTTGGCAATGGCAATGGGGTGAGCAACTTATTCGCTTAAGGGGATAGAAATCAAACATTTATCCGTGGTCTGACTTTGTGACACTACAGAATTAGAAAAACCCACACTGGATTTTGCAAGGCACACCAAGGTTACAGCCGCATGTAACTTACAATACAGAGTTGTGTACAGTTGTCCCTTTTTTCTCTCTCTCTCTCTCTCTCTCTCTCCCTCCCCCCCCCCCCCCCCCCCCCCCCCCCCCCCCCCCCCCCCCACCCCGGGAGCCGGTGCTGCCCACTGTGCTCCGCGCAGAGCTGGCTCTGGGGTCCCCGGGGAGCTCGGCTTGGGCGGGGCGGGAGCAGATAGGCTGCGAGGCGCCCTTCCCAGAGCCACCGCTAGGGGCCGAGAGCGAGGCAGGCGGCAGCTTCGCGCTTTGGCCCCCCGCGCGGCCCGTCGCCCGGCGCCGCGGCGGGAAAATCCGACTGGGCCTTCCCGGCCACCGCCACTTTCTGTCATCGCGCGCTTGCCAGGATCCGCCCGCGGTGATGATGGAGGAGGAGGAGGGGGCCGAGGAGCAGCAGCGATTCTCTTACCAACAGGTACCGGAGAATGCAGTCTTGGCTGGGCTGGGGAAGGACGGCGTCTAGATTGTGCAGGAGAGAAAAAGGCCCTGCCTCCGCCCGCCCTCGCCTTCGTGCCGGGGTCGGAGGGCGAGCTTGGGCCTGCGCGGGCCGGCTCGGGCCGGCTCCGGCCGCCTGGCGCCTGCGCTTAGGCCGGCTCGGCTGCCGCGGGGGGTGCTGGGAGGCGGTTTCTGTGGTATTGCGGATTGGAGCGTGCGGGCGGCGGCGCAAGAAAGGAGAGTCCGTGGAAGTTCCTGCGGTGCTCCGCGGAGTCCGGCGGCCGGGGCCCCTCTGGCTTTGGGGCAGCCTCAGTCTCCTCGGACAGGGTCGTTGTGAGGCGCCTGGCACGCGGCACAAGCTCGAAAATGTTGGCTCCCGTAACCCGTACGCTCTCCGTCCTGCCCGCGAGGAGACAAGCCTCAGACCCTGGTGCAAACCCCCAGGCCATCCGGCTCCCGAGCCCATCGGATGTGGGTTCGAATCTCGACTCCGCCTGGAGGGTTGTGTTGACTCTGCCCAAACTCAGTTTTCCTAGGTGGAAAATCGGGTAATAACCAGTTCTCGGGATAGTTATGAGTATCCAGTCCTTTAGTCAGCACCGGAATAAATACCGCGAGGCAGAGTCGTGAGAACAGTGTTGTCAAGAGGTGAAAACCAAGAACCAGGGTGGCAACCTCAGAGAGGATTAACCGAAGAGACACGGGAATGAGCTTCTAAGGTTCAGACGCTGTTTACCCGCTCCCTTCCTTTATTTTGAAGTTTAAGCCTTCAAGAAAAAGTTGCAAGAATAATGTGCAGAAATAATGTATTCATCACCCATATGCCCCTCACCTCGATTCACCGGTTAACGTTTTGCTGTATTTGCTCCCTTGCTCCTTTTTTCGGAATTATTTGAGAATTAAATACACTTGACACTTCACCTTTAAATTTTAATACTTCAGCATGCTTCTCCCAAGAACAAGGGCGTTCTGTGACATAATCTCTGACCACACTCAGGAAGTTTGATATTGATAAAATACTATGATCTAATGTCAGTCCATATTCAATTTCTGCCAGTTGTCCAAAAGATGTTCTTTTTTTTCTTTTTATTTATTTATTTTTGGCTGCATTGGGTCTTCGTTGCTGCGTGCGGGCTTTCTCTAGTTGCGGCGAGCGGGGGCTACTCTTTGTTGCAGTTTGTGGGCTTCTCACTGCAGTGGCTTCTCTTGTTGCGGAGCACGGGCTCTAGGTGCGCAGGCTTCAGTAGTTGTGGCACGGGAGCAGGTGGGATCTTCCTGGACCAGGACTCGAACCCGTGTCTCCTGCATTGGCAGGTGGATTCTTAACCACTGCGCCACCAGGGAAGCCCCCAAAGATGTTCTTTAGTGGTCTTTTTTCTTCATCCAGGATCCAGTCAGGGATTATGCCTTGCATCAAGTGGTCCTGGCTCCGGTCTTCCCTGGAAGGGTTCTCCACCTTCTTTGTGTTTCATGACATTGGTGGTTTCCAGGAGTCCATTCATGGCACGGGTGTGGTGGGAGATAATCTCTTTGAGAGCAGGGACTGTCCTTTTCAGTTTTGTGTTCTCAGCCCCTAGTACAGAGCGTGGCTCTCAATAGACAGCGCTTACTGAGTAAGTGAGTGAGGCTGCAAAGATGGACTGAGAAATTTGAACCTTGTTCTCTATGCAGTGGTGAGCGGGGGGAGGATCCAGCCATTCACTCAGCCAGCTGTTCTTGCCACTAGGTGGACAGCTGTGAACAACACTTGAAGGGTCCTGCCCTCGAGGAGTTTAGAGTCTAGAGATTTAGCCTCTCAGTGTTCAGCATCGAAGAAGACACTTAGCCCGTTCCAGGAGGTGGGGGGGAGGGGCCGGCAGAGAAAACTTCTGGAGCAGTCGGAAGGATCCCTGTCCTGTTCCCCTGCCCCTAACCTCACCTCTACACATACCTACAAAAGATCCCTTGGAGGGTTTTTATCCCTCCCAGGGTGGTGGTCTCTTTGTCTCCTCCCACCAATGCCCTCTACTTACCTACTCTTGTGACATCTGAAACTAAGGAACGTAGGTCCCTTGCTTATCTGCCTGGTCTCTACTCTGGGGTCCTGGACTTGTGTTTTTGCAGTTCCTCCTCATCTTGCTTCTACCATGAACACTTGCTGGTAGAGTTGATACTGTCTTGGGTTCAGCTGTCACCATGTCCACTTCAGCTCTGTTTCCAGCACAGGTGGAGCCCACAGAGGGCTCAGCAAGTTTATTCACATGAGACGGAGACCTTGGCTTAGCTTGTTTGGCTTCTTTACTCCTCCGCATGGGTAGAGGTATGTTTTCCAGTACCTGAAAGGGTTGCTGAGGAGCAGTGAGGGTCCTGTTGAGGTGGGCTAGCAAACCAGCAAATCAGAGGAGGGTCCGATGTAGCCTCATGAGCCTTTCCCTTGTTGTCCTGATCATTCGTCCTGTCTCATGCAGGACAGGGGTTGGCAAGGACTTGAAGCACAGGGATGGGATCCTTTTGCATTTGCTTGATTAACCCCCATATGGGGGCAGAAATCCCTGTCTTTTTTCATCGTGTTGCCCAGACACCTAGCACACACCTTCACGCAGTAGGCACTTGGCACATAAATGTGGAATAACAGTAAAGTCACATAGATGCCTCCCAAGTACCAGTCTGCCTTCATTCCCTGCTGAATTGCCATCATAATTCCTTACCTTTACTTGACCTAAATCATAACCATTAACCATTAACATTAAAGTAATGTTTCTACAAGTCACACTCCAGAGGGCCCCATTAATTTTTTAGTACAGTTGAAAACTCACTCGGCCATTATGGAAAGTGCTGAAGGAATTAGGGTGAGCAGACCCTCTCCTTGATCTTAATTTTTTAAGATGTGGAAAGCTCTTATTTGCAGTCTTACCCACGAAGTGTTTTGATTTTGCTTCAGAGGCTAAAGGCAGCGGTTCACTACACTGTTGGCTGTCTTTGTGAGGAAGTTGCGTCGGACAAAGAGATGCAGTTCAGCAAACAAACCATTGCAGCGATTTCGGAGATGACTTTTCAACAGTGCGGTATGCAGCCACGGTCTTCCTGTAGACGTATAGAAAGCCCAGAGGTTGATTTGCCTGGGAGAAATGTGCGGGGCTGGGGTGCCGTGGCATGTCTTACCAGCAGACAGAGAACATTATCATTGGACACCGTTCGTGAAACGTTTCTTTTATTGGCCGTAAGATTCAGATAGCTTATGGAAAGAACTATTTTTTTTTCTTTCTATTACCCTAACACGGGGGCATCAGCACCTTTATTTTATTGTGCTTTAAACTGCCGGGAACATTAGACATAAATTTCATTGCTTTGTAACTTTTTTATATCACCCACAGTTTGACAGTTGAACTTGCAGCCTTGGTATTTGCTTGACTTCAGAGGAGATTAATGTCCTCCTAAGCCCTAACTCGTAGCAAAATTTAAAGTTAGGGATAGCTTCTAGGAAGGAAAGGTGTAGCCACAATTACCAAAGGCTTGTAATGAAGGGTGGAGGGGGCCAGGGAGGCAAGGAGGTCATAATGAATCCAGTGGTGGACCTGCCTGAAGGGCCTCCTCTCACCTTCAAAAGGATTTGTTGTATTAGTCACTGTACTTACTGTAGACATTGAGATTTCACTTTTCTCCCTCTGAAATAAGATTGCGATGGGGGGTGGATTTCCCTGGTGGGCCAGTGGTTAAGATTCTGTGCTTCCAAAGCAGGGGGCACGGGTTCGATTCCTGGTTGGGGAACTAAGATCCCACATGCCATGCAGCACTGCTGAAAAAAAATTGCTATAGGGTAGCTAAAGCACATCTCTTTTTCTCTTTCAGAAAATTTTGCCAAAGACCTTGAAATGTTTGCAAGGTGGGTAGAGAGCTTGATTGTGGGATCTTTGTTTGTTTACATGCTATTGATACGCCCCATCTGGTGGTGAATTTCAGGAGAGCTTTAGCTTTTTTTTTCCCCTGTGTTTTGTGGATGCTCAATCTCCAATCATGATTCTGTAAGAATGTAACATCTGCTTTAATCACTGTCCATTCAGACTTGATTTGGCATTTTTTGAAGCTTTCCAAGTATTTTTTGTTAACGGAACCAGAGTTATTCAGTTCCAGGTTAAAAAGGTATGAATCATGTCTCCAGGACTCTGTGCACAGTGTGTGTGCTTTTAAGGCCATTTCTGCAGGTGGTGAAGTGCTGGGGCGTGAGGCTGGGCGCCCGGGCTGGGCTGCTTCGTGCTCCGCGGGGAAGCTTGCAGGTGTCGGGATAATACAGCCCCACGGCCCGTCAGCTCTGCATTTGCTGAGCTTGTTACAAGTGAGACACACGCTCCTTGAAAAGTGTGTGACTTACTTTCAGCTGGTAAAGTGTTAGCTTTTAAAGGTGATTTATGCTCCTCTCTTCAATTAGTACTGCAGGTAATTGAAAACAATTGCAACGAATTGCTTTCATGAAGCAATTTGAATGAGGAAGGCCTGAAAGGGCCAAAGCTTTCTAATTTGCTCCCGCTTCTGATTTGGTGCCAGCCTCTCCCACACCCCATACTTTTCACCTTGCTCCTGTTAGCTCTTTTTTTTCTCCGATGAATATTCTGAATGAATTAAAGCAGTAGGTTCTCAGAGGGCAGGCTCTAAATCTTTCCTATTCCTGTGTATGAGTCCCTAAAAACCGCTTAGCATCTTCAACTTGGCCAGAAGGGATAAGGATAATGTATGGGATACTGATAGCTTATATGGCTTATCATTGTTAATTCAGGTGGTTGCCCCTTCCCTGTGCCTCGTGCCCACCCCCACTCTCAGTCTCCTGTGAAATACACTTACTACCTTTACTTGCCATTTCTTTTCTTCTTCTTTTTTTTTTTAAATATGAGCCCTTTATACTACAGAGGAAGACACAAAAATGTAAATAAGTAGACAGTGGTTATTTGATTTGAACATAGAGTTTATCAGTACAGATCACCTCAGCACTATTGACATTTTGGACTGGATAATTCCTTGTTCTGGTGGTGGCTGTCCTGTGCATTTTAGTGTGTTTAGTGGCACCCCTGGCCTCTACCCACTAGATGCCTGTAGCAAGCCCTCAGGTGTGAGTTTCCTTGCTACTTCTGTGTTAGTTGTGGGAAAAGACAATGAAAAACTTTAAATACTTCTAAATACTAGGAGTAAAAATGAAATTAGGGGACTTCCCTGGTGGTCCAGTGGTTAAGACTCCGCTCTCCCAATGCAGGGGGCCTAGGTTCCATCCCTGCTCAGGGAACTAGATCCCACATGCCGCAACTAAAAGATCCTGCACATGGCAACGAAGATCCAGCGTGCCACAACTAAGACCCGGCACAGCCCAAAAAAAAAAACCTACAGAGATTTTAAAAAATTTAAAAAGAAATAAAATTAGAACTATTTAGCATTGTAACACATTAAGCTTTCAGGTACTCTGTGTTTTTTATAGGTTTTTTTTTAATAGTCATCGTGCTGTACATTACATTCCCATGATTGTCTTTTTATTTTATTTTATTTTATTTATTTGGTTGTGCCGTGTCTTAGTTGCAGCAGGCATGCTCCTAAGTTGTGGCTCATGGGCGCTTTAGTGGTGGCACGTGTGCTCCTTAGTTGTGGCAGGTGAATTCTTAGTTGCGGCATGCATGTGGGATCTAGTTCCCTGACCAGGGATCAAACCCGGGACCTGAGCATTGGGAGCGCGGAGTCTCCACCACTGCGCCACCAGGGGAGTCCCTGTGTTTTTTATAGTTACGTTAAGTCCGTTTCCGTTTGCTGGGCACTGGGGCAGAGTGGTGTGTGGGTATCACTTAGACTGTCAGCTCCACAAGGAAGGACGTCATCTTTTGAGTAAAGGAGTCTGTGTAAAGGCTGTCAGCCTATGTTCTCTGAGTGAGGCTTTACTAGGAGATGCCGCCTCTTCTGCGGTGCTCACATGGGTGCACCAGGGCTCCTCAGACGTCCTCCCAAGGACCCTGAGCGAACACAGGCACAGATTTTCTTTGAAGACTCATCCGTTGTCTTAATTTTACATTCGTTTTCAAAATAGTCCAGTTTGCTCTCATATAAAAAATCCTGTTTTAAAGTTTATCACTGAATAACATTGATGCTCCCAGGTGGTCAACTTTATCCTGTGGTTTTGAGTTTTCCCTGTCACATAGTCCCTGCCCTTAGAACTACTATATGATTACCCCAGTTTGAGAAGTCTGAAATACATACTGTTTCAGGTTGACTATATATTAAATAGTCTTTGCAGGCTGGGAACCTAACCAGTGTTTGTAACATTGTTTCTATGAAATAAAATGCATTTAAATTGTAAATACTATAAACTCAAGTCATCTGTAAACTTTGGAAGATCATCTCCCAATTTAAGTTGTGAATTTCCCTTATTTAGCTTTGAAATCTCTAGTCACTTAATATTGTTAACATGTTAAAGATGAAACATTTTGAAGAAGATCGATATTCTACGGTAAATAAATTCTAGGGACATTTTGGGAATAATCTTTGAAACCTGTGTTGCTAAAAGTGTTATATGAAAATCCCTTTGTTACGTTCCCTAGAGTAATTTTCTGGAGCCAGAGGTTTGATTTAGGAGAATCTCTGATGTGCAGTGGCTGGCATAGGATATACCTACTCTTCCATCTGGGAAAGTGGTAACATTAAAACATGGTGCAGAGGGGACTTCTCTGGTGGTCCAGTGGCCAGGGCTCCACGCTCCCAATGCAGGGGGCCCAGGTTTGATCCCTGGTCGGGGAACTGGATTCCACATGCCACAACTAAGAGTTGGCACGCTGCAACTATGAGTTGGCGTGCCGCAATGAAGATCCCGTGTGCCGCAACTAAGACCCGGCACAGCCAAGTAAGTAAATAAATAAATATTTTTAAAAAATAATAAAGAATATGGTGCAGAGAAACCAGATGACAAGCTGAGTGGTAGAGACGATCGACTCTGCTGTTTCCTAAATGCTTCTCGTGAACAGATGAGCTAATCTTACTCTGTGAATAGTTCAGTGTGCTGCTTCCTCTTACCTGCTCCTTGTATGGCACTTTACCAAGGCGGTAGTACCGCCAGAGCAGCCTGATCGTGTGATAGAGATGAAGGCCACGGTGTGTCCATGGCACCTAATGTCCCGCACCCAGGGAACCTGTGGATTGGCTTCATACTTTGTGGCTGCTATTTTAGCACCTTTTTAAAAAAAAATTGTTTATTTTATTTATTTATTTTTGGCTGCCTTGGGTCTTCGTTGCTGCGTGAAGCCTTTTCCTAGTTGCGGCGAGCCAGCTTCCATTGTGGTGGCTTCTCGTTGCAGAGCACAGGCTCTAGGCGCGCGGGCTCTAGAGCACGGGCTCAGCAGTTGTAGCGTGTGGGCTTAGTTGCTCTGCGGCATGTGGGATCTTCCCGGACCAGGGCTCGAACTCGTGTCCCCTGTTTTGGCAGGTGGATTCTTAACCACTGTGCCACCAGAGAAGTCCTCTGTCACCTTCTGTCTGACTTTTTTCCCCCTTTCCTCTGTTCTGGTCCTTGCAGGTGGCTAGTTAGAAGTTATCTTCTGACATGGGTATTATATCAGGACAGGCAGGTACTGTCAATCATGATGAGATGGCACATGATATTTTCACACTTGGCAGGATGTGAAAGACTAACGGCCAAATAATGGAGTATAATTTCTGGGATTTTATCTTTAACTCAACAGTGAGGACTTACTATGTGCTGGCCACTTGGATAGTTATTAAGGATACAAAGATTCCTCCTTATTCCTACTTACGAAGTTCCTACTTATTTTTGGAGGAAGTTAGAAATGGCAAGAAAGGGTGTAATTTAGAGTAATAAATTATTGAATAGAGCTTATTATCTCAAATTACCTTTTAAAGCAGACAGAGGAGGACTGGAACAAGAACTTGAGTCCATGTTGTGAGCAAGAAACAGACTCCAGTTGAAAGGATGTTCTTTGTTCTAACTGGGCTATTGTCGGAGGAATGCGTTATCTCCTAGTTGGGAAATGGGATATTAGGAGACACCTGCACAAGCTTTTTCCTGTATTGTAGCCTTTGGAGAAGAGCTTTAGGACCTTGGTGTAAGTGAAGCCATGCTTCATGGAAAGTCTCTGTTCTTCTGTTTAGCGTCTGCTTAAGCAGAGACGATCTTGGTATCGCGAGCTCTGTGTCATTCTCTTTTCACTGAAGGTGCTTCACTGACCTTCTTGCTTTTTGTATGGTGGTCTCTGTGTCCATTGTGACCAAGCAGGCCATTCGGGAAGGGTTTAACGCCCCTCACTCCTTTCCCTGCTCGTATTCTCGAAGCACGCTGGCCCTCAGGTGGAGGTGGACAGATGGGCTTCTGCTTTCTCTCAGTCTCTTTATTTAGTTGGTATCTTGGCTCGTCACTTCACTCATTTTTGTGTCACTGTTGCTTAATGACCTTAATCTGAAAAGATGGGCTACTTAGAGATCCTTGCTGGTGTGAAGTCTGGCCATGAACTTTTGTGTTTCATCAAAACTTTAAATAATACCAAACATTTTGGTGAATTGTTTCTGCCCTTTCTACAGACATGCGAAAAGAAGCACCATTAACACTGAAGATGTGAAGCTCTTAGCCAGGAGGAGTAATTCACTGGTGAGAGATGAATTTCTTTCCTCACTCCCCTTTCCCATCAGAATACATTATTCCCAATTAATCACTTGCAGCCATGAAGTGATTCCCCAGGGCACCTTGCATTAAAAACGAGAGATGCTTGAACCATTCGGACCTGCCCGTAATTTATAGGCTTTCTTTCATTATGATGGATCTTACTAAGCCAATTTGAAATTTTCTAATCAGTGCTCTCTGGATTCATAATTTGCCTTTTTTGTAATATCTCAAAACTTTGGTCCCATGTTTCATTTGGAGCATGATGTCAGAGACAGGTCGCAGGCCAGAGTGTATGGGGATAGTTTCGTTATGGTGCCCACAGTTCTGTTGGGCCAGGTATGGAAAGAGTATCTGTACATCTGGGATGTGCAGGAAATTGAGCACATTGTCTGTCTTTTCAAAGAAGTCTAGACATCATCTTGACCAAGCCCTCATTTTACAGGTGATGCTGTGATCCCAGGCTAGTAGCTGTGGCCGATGGCAGATCCAGGACACCTGTGAGGTTTCCTGACTTAGTCTGATCCTAGCAGTTAAAATACTTCACGTTCCTCCCCAGAATGTGAGCTCCACGAGGGCAGGGATTTTTGTCCCCTTCTTCTCTGCTCCATCTGCCGTGCCTACAATAGGGCCTGGCCCACAGTAGATGCTCACGAGTAGTTGCTGAATGAATGAACTTGTGTAGCACTTGGCAGTTTACACAGGACTTTTATTGATAATATTTTACATATATTATTTAAAGCTCACAACTACCCTCTGAGGGTTTTCAATAACATGACTAGATAGCCCCATTTTACAGGCTAGGCTACTGGAGTTAAGTAACTTCCCAAAGTTAAATAGGAAGTTTTCTGGTTGACAGCTGAACCTTAACCTTTGAACCCTGAATCTAGTGCTGTTTCCACTGGGCTGTTTTCTATCTCTGCTCTTCTAATATTATTTGTCCAAAGTTTAAGTCAGGGTTAAGGATGATATGGTTCCTAAGTAAAATAGCTCAGGCGCCTGTGGTGCCGTGTATCAGTGGAAAAGACATTTCTCTCTCCTCATAAATCCTCTGTCATAACTCTTACTGGGTCAGCTTCAGTGAGCAATTTCCACCTTTTGCCAAGGAATCGTCAATGCAAGTCATCTTAGACTATTAATTGGGTGCATATTTGTCTACTTCAGAATGTTGTTTTTATTTTGGATTCTTAATTTTTTTATCTGACAGAAACTTATTACTGAAGAGTTGCAGCTAAATTTGTGCATTAGACTAAATCTTCCCTGAGGGCAGGGACCTTGTCTTATTTCCCTTGTATCTCTAGTATCTGGTACACAGTAGTTGCTCAGTAATTTTAGTTGGATAAATTTAGGGGCATGTTGACTATATGTGTGCTTTGTAGAGTATATTTCTGATTGGCATGCCTTCTGTAAGCTACAAGTTTTAATTCTTTTGATTTTTCAAGGAACTCCTACCTGTTTGGTAGGATATGTAGCAGGGAGTTGACTTCTGAAGTTGATTCCTTCTTCCAGAAAAAATTTGAAGCTGTGTTTTAACTCTAATGAATGTAACCCAGGGTGGGAGTGGTTGGGAAATGGTGTAGATTTTTTTCTCCCCTTAGGCTTATAAATGGCTTTACAACCAGATAAAAATGTAATTAAAAACATTTTTTTATAGCTAAAATACATCACAGAGAAAAATGAAGACATCGCTCAGTTTAACCTGGAACGAAAAGCAAAGAAGAAAAAGAAGTTAGAGGATGAAAACAAAAATTCAGTGGAGCCAGCAGAGGCTGGTGTAGTGGAAAGTGAGAATTAAAGTCTGTCGCCATTTGGAAAAAGCAGCCTTCAGGTAGAGCCACTAAAAACATGTATTGCCAACAAAGGGTTTTGAAAGGATTAAGTGGAGATTACCAAAAAAAAAAAAAGGCTTGGGGGCTTTTCGTACTGTATTCTCCAAGTCACTGACTGCAAAAGGTGGTTTAAAAGAGAACTGGAAACTCTTAAGCAAAATACTCCCATGTCTTACTGAAGCACATGAAAAAAGTGTGTTTGAATGGTATATATTGGAAATTGTATCTATTGCAGTTAATAAAATTTTGTTAGCAATTACATATCGTTGACTTTTTCAAGCAAAAATCATAGTTATTTTTTCATTCTTTTATATAATTTTTTAGGCTGACAGTCCCTGAAAGATGAATAAAGCTATATTTATTTAGTCCTTTTTTTTTTTTTTTTTTGGTTGCACTGCGTGGCATGCAGGATCTCAGTTCCCTGACCAGGGATTGAACCCAGGCCATGGCAGTGAAAGTGCCGAGTTCTAACCACTGGACCACCAGGGAACTCCCTATTTAGTTCTTTTGATTACCAATATTGTTTTTAAAATTAATTTATTTATTTTCGGCTGCATTGGGTCTTCGTTGCGGTGCACAGGCTTTCTCTAGTTGTGGCGAGCTGGGGCTACTCTTCGTTGTAGTGCGCGGGCTTCTCTTGTTGCAGGGCACGGGCTCTAGGTGTGGTGGCTCAGTAGTTATGGCTTGTGGGCTTCAGTAGTTGTGGCACGTGGGCTCGGTAGTTGTGGCTTGCAGGCTCTAGAGCGCAGGCTCAGTAGTTGTGGCGCATGGGCTTAGTTGCTCCGCGGCATGTGGGATCTTCCCGGACCAGGGCTCGAACCCGTGTCCCCTGCATTGGCAGGCAGATTCTTAACCACTATGCCACCAGGGAAGCCTCTCGGTATTGTTGTTGTTGTTGTTTTCCCCAGTATTGTTTTTTAAACCTGCGTCACTTGTGATCACAAGGTAAAAGGGTGGGTGTTTGGAAATGGTCCTTTTGTCCTTTTTACTTTTTAAAGGTGATTTTTCTCCAGAAACACAGTTTATGTGACTTTTGTCTGGCTATTTTGTAATTATGCTGGGCAGAAGTTTTGCTTGAGAGGAAAACCTGACTACTCCTCCAAAACACTTCACTTGTGTGTCCTCTGTTTTAGTTTGTGAGAGATGATGCTTCCAGGAGTCCCAGGTCTGCTGTCTTCTCCTTGGGGTTTATTAGGGGTCCAGGGCATGCCTTTTCCCTGTTGGGGCGACAGGAGTAAAGAAAAGGGCCTGGCACTTACAGAGCCCTTTCTGTGCGCCAGCTGCTGCCCTGGGTGTTCCATATAGTTCTTCTTCACAACTTTTTCAGGGTTTTTTTGTTATTCCCATTTTACTGATGAGCAAGCTGAAGCTTGAAGACGTTAACCAACCACCCAGGATCTACTGACCAATGGAGATGGTAGTCACGTTTGGAGTGATGACTCTAGAGTGGGTGAGAGAGAAAAGGTGCGTGCAGCTGGATAGAATTTATACCATCCATGCCCAGATATGATCAGCAAAAGATACCCCAGAGTCTACCTCTCAAAAGGAGATGCTGAGCTATGGTCATAGTAAAGCGTTGAATTCAAACTTCACGGTTTCAGGTTCTTCAAATAACAAATCATTTGGTCTCAGATAATAATTGTAACACCTTTGTGTCACATTAGTGAAAGAAATGTGAATCATGAAGGCTTCCGTGTTTACAGTACATTCCAGCCAAAGATCTGTACGTTAGCAGTTTCATTTTCAGGTAAGCTGTCTTTAAACGCCTCGTCACGGAGAGTTTTGAGACTAGATACTGTGGACTTTCCAAAGGTTGACAAATCTAGACTTGCATCCTGATTTCATAATTCTAATAGCTGTATGACTTTCTTTTTTTTTTTCTATGAATGGCTGATTTTGTTTTATTTATTTATTTTTAACATCTTTATTGGAGTATAATTGCTTTACAATGGTGTGTTAGTTTCTGCTTTATAACAAAGTGAATCAGTTATACATATGTTCCCATATCTCTTCCCTCTTGCGTCTCCCTCCCTCCCACTGTATGACTTGCTGAAACATTGTGTTCTTATCAGTGAAACAGAGTTAATACCTCTCGCAGCAATGTTATATGCGACAATAAAAGGAAATTGGTAGAACCATTATAATGCATCTTGTTTCTATAGATTTCTGTAGCTCCAGAAACTCAGAATACACATGACTCGAAATGATGAACCCGTGTACACCCTGGGTGTCCTGTCCCTGATTAGAGGGTTGTAGAGGGCCCCTCCTGGCTGGCATGGGTATTTTGACATGAAGTTTTCTAGCCAGATGAGAAAGTTGACTTGATGTTCACGTAATCTTTTGGTTTATTTGGCACATTTATGTATGACCTGTTCATATTTTAGACAAGTGGTAGTACAACACATTTTTCGGGGATTATAACACAGGGGTGGCCAGACTTTGTATGGAATGGCTGAGTCTACTCCCTGAGTTCTCAGGAGCTGCCTCTTGCCCACCGCACGTTCTGATCAGGGTTTAGGTGACTCCAGAATGTCCATGTGATGTCAGCCATCCTTTCCAGTTCCATCTTTGCTGACAGTGGCAGAAGGGAGTGGTAGAGGGCTCTCTCTCTCAGGCTTGCTTCCTCAGAGTCCTGGAAGCTCATCTGAACTTTAACTAGATTTATTAACCACGTAGCCAGATGATTGACCATGTAAAGCTGCAGATGTCTTTGACATAACTGTGGCCTGGTAGCATAGTTGGGGCATTTTACATTTATAATGTTTGTTGTCTTCCTTGTTACACCAATTCCTCAAAAAAAAATTGAAATAAAAGATCCTGTGTTAATTTTTTATTACTCAGTTAACGATCCAGGGAAGTTTCAGAGCATCCCCTTCTACACACAGCAGCAACTGTGTGTAGGTCTGCGCTGGCTCATACACAGCTGATACCTTGCAACCTAGGTGTCTGGGAAAGCGTAATCAGGGCCTGACTACTACCTGTACTGAATTGCAGAATCTGTAAAGAACCCTTCGAGGTCGTTTAGTCCAATCTCCCCAGCAAGTAAGAACCCCTTCTGCAGCACTGCTGACCGTGGTTCCCGAGGCTCTGCTGAATTCCTCAGGGACAGAGCGCCCTTTCTGTTATTGGACACTGATTGTTGCAAGTTTCTTCTGTATATGAAGAAGAGTCTTCCATCTTCTATCTAGGTCCTACTTCTGCCTTTTAGAATAAACAGTCTCCCTTTTTCGAAATCATGCGGTACTGTGTTCCTTTAGTCACGGCTCCCATGGTACTTCTTTTCAGAAGCACACGTTCTTGCATAAAACATTAGACCGACGGCTCCCTGTGGGCAGGCTTTGGGGTGGCAGGTGGTGGTGGGTGCCTTGTGTAGTGCTGTGCACACACAGCAGGCAGGCGCCCCCGAGTACTTGTTCCCGAGTCTGAGGTGTGCTGTGTGGTGAGGAGGAGCCTTTGCTTGAGTTTCATGGCTCTAACCAGGGATTTCCAACGTTTTGTGGCAGGGAGCTCTTCTTTATACTGTGGGGCAGGAAGGACTAAGGACTTAGGGTATCTTCTTAGTAACAGTTCCTGTCGTGAGGGCCTTCTGTGCTTTCTGCTTGTGTTAGGTGCTTATCATGATCTTATTTGGTTCTCACAGAGTTCTGTGAGGTAGGCAGTAGGTACCGTTTTTATCCCCATTTTATAGATGAGGAACCCGAGGCCCTAGAAAAGTTAATTCAACGGCAAAACCAGGATTTTAGTCTAGAGCCGTCACCTTGAAGTACTACGATATGTTGCCATCTCCTTGAAAACGGCCAGTAATAAGATCACATGAAGCCTTCTCCAACCCGCAGCACATAACCCTCTTTGCACCCCAAATTTACTTTTCTCTCATTTGCAGAGTGTGTATCCTGCCCCTTCGCGGGGCTGTAACAACTCTGTCGGGGTGGAGGATGTGGCTCCCTTGTACCTCTAGGTGGCACATGCCAGGCACTCAGTGTTTAATGAGGCCACTGAATAAAATCTGGGAAATATACTAAGGCTATAAGAGCTGGCTGAGCTGCCATGACCTTCTCATCTGCAAGAATATCTAAACATTTTTAACGCCATTTGTGGGAGTTAGGCAAAAAATTTATTGTGGTACCAAAAAAGGGACTAGACGACATGCAGCGTATGATCCGTGGGTCATCGTGCCGTGCCGATTTTACCTAGAATCTTAAACAACAAGCCTGTGATGCAATGAAATTTAAGGTTGAGCTTTCCCTTGTGAAGGGGTGTGAACCAGGCTCTTGGAAAACCGAAAGCTTCAGTGTTCACTTCTGGAAAGCGCTGTCAGTTCTTTGGTTGCTTTCTTCCATTTAGAACCTTGCCTTTGACATTGGTCACCTTAGTAGGTTAGTGGTGGGTGTTTCGGATTTTCCTAGCTGTCTCAGTTAGGTGAAGAGGGTCTGTACATTTGTTTGTGTGACTCTGAACCTGGGACCCATCCGGAGGAGCCAGGAGGTGGCACGGCACAGAGGGCTTCACGTTCTGGAGTTCTTAGCAGTGGAGCTGTCTTCAGGAGGAGAGGAAGCCCCAGGAGCTGATCAAGTGCAGGGCATTCAGCAAGAAGTACATTTTACGCTTCACACACACACAGCAGTATTTATCCTTACTCAACATGATGCCCTCTAATTTTTATTTCATTCAAAAAAAGTGCTAGGGCTTCCCTGGTGGTGCAGTGGTTGAGAGTCCGCCTGCCGATGCAGGGGACGCGGGTTCGTGCCCCGGTGCGGGAAGATCCCACATGCCGCGGAGCAGCTGGGCCCGTGAGCCATGGCTGCTGAGCCTGCGCGTCCAGAGCCTGTGCTCCGCAATGGGAGAGGCCACAACAGTGAGAGGCCCGCGTACTGCAAAAAAAAAAAAAAAAAAAGTGCTAGTTTACGAGCCACTAGTGAGTGGCCAGCAGCAGATGAAAAGCACTGGTTACTCTAGTGTCAGCTCATTAGAATTGTGGGATCTCGGCTCCTCCTTGTACCCACGACATCAGAATATGCATTTTAATCTTAATAAGGTGATTTGGGTCCACGTCACAGTTTGGGAAGGCCTGGGCCAGAGGACAGTGGCCTGCTGGCCGGGGAGGCGGTGCTGGGGAACCATTACTCGGGTCGCCCTTGCCTGCGGTTTGGAGACCAGTGGGTGCTGAGCGGCTCTCTGAGCCCTCACCGTCGCCTTGTTTCTTCTGCCCAAGCAGATTCAGTCATACTTTTACGTGGACAAAATTGCAGGTTTTAAGCTCCTTATCCAAGGCTAATTTTGTATTATGTTAAATCACTTGGTTTTGTTCTCATGGCTTCCTGCTTGCTTGGGCATAATTAGGAGGAGGTAGAACTTCAGAGGCAAGTGCACTTTGCATTCTAAAGTAGGAGCAAATCCACTCTCAACACAGGAAGAGATCTGAGGCTTTAATGAAGGGGTTAAATCCAATCTGAAAGCACTTTTGTGGGCACTGATTGCTCAGGCTTATGCGTCGCTGCTTGAGTGTGAAGGAAGAGGGGGTACAGGCTTTAGACAGGCATATATACAAACACACAGGTTGAGCTTAAAATAACCCCCTGGTCTCCAAAGAAGAGACCCAAGTCCACAACACACTGATTTCGGGGCTGCCAAGCAGGATTAGCAGCCACAGGGCTGGAGAGAAGTGCCAGTCAGCCTGAGGATGCTGCCGCCCCTCTGCTGCCGCTGCCCTCAGGGGCCGCCGCTGCCCTTCCCCTGGAGGGTGGCCTCGCCGGCCGCGACAGTGGGGCGAGTAGTCTGACTCGGCCGCATGCTGACCCACTTGTGGGCTGTCTCTTTCCTTGGCACATTTGGCCGCCCCTACGGATTCCCCAGCATCTGCACAGCTGAGTGTGTGTACAGGACAGACTGCAGGGCTGGACTCTGCAGTGTGCCCCTCAGCTGCCCTGTGCCGTGATGTCCACATAGACCATTGATTCTTGTTTACCTTCAGTTGTTAGGAAGTTTGTTAGAAAGCTCTGAAACTAAGGGGAGCTTCTTCGAGCTGGCAGCCTCCATCTGCTAGTCTTTGAAACATTCAGTGATTACAGCAGTCTACTGCAGTGTAATCATGGAGCTGCCACTGTGGTATTAGTCACACATACTTCTAGAATCTTAATTTATATATACAGCACATGTTCTCACTGGCTCAGATTAATTGACGTCATTACATTTTCCATTGTGAGGATTTGTAATTTCATGACATGACTTATTTTTCTCTTTTTCCCATTTTGAAAAAGTTCCAAGAAAGAGTACATAAAGTTGACCATTAAAAGTGGATTTTTCTCTGAACTTATCAGATGAGTTCCAGACAAGTCATTCATTATCAGATTACTCCTAGAAGCTTTCTAAGGAGTTTGAAAAGCCAGAATATAACGTCTCAAGCTGATCTCTCTCGAAAAGCAATTTGTGGACAGCCAGGAGGAAGACCAGAGATGGGAAAACCAAGCTAAATTAGCCTGATCCACCTTGGGGGGCTTCTTAGCTGCCAGTCACTTGTCAGGGAAAATGATAGATTTCTTGACCTCTTCTAATTAAGAACCTCAGCCAAGATTAGGGGCAAAACAAGCAGAGTTTCCTTGATTGAAAAATTTCAACTTCTTTTCTCTAATTAGAGCAATTTCGTTAAGGTGTTCTCTTAACTTATCCTTTAAATAGAAATGTGATTTATTGTTCTGGAGCATTTTTTTTTTTTTAAGGAATTATGTATCTTAATGCTGGCTGAACCAGGTGGTTGATTTGTCTTTCCTTTGTCCTCTGTTTCTTTTTAAAAGCATATACAGGAAGTGGCAGAAATAAAGAAAAACAGCCTGTTGACTTTCCTTGCGTGGTGGTATGAGGGGGCCTCCCAGGCCAGGGCAGTGTCCTTTTTAGGAGGGGAAGCCAGGGAGATGTCCAAACGGCAGGAAGTCCTGCCCCTCCAACAGTCCACTTGCCGAGATGAAACGCCCTGCAAGAATTTCTATTGGAAGACCTTCTCCTCCTGCAAATAAAGCCCCACCCATAATTACTCATGCAAAGAAGTGTAAGGATGGATCTGAATAAAAACGTATTCATCAGCCGTGATCTTTCTTCTTTATGCAGTTGTCTTCTCTTTCTCGTGTAATTTGAAAAGTAGTTTTTATTTTAACTCCAAAAACACCCAATACTGAGTGTCTTGAGTAATTTGGAACCCAAAGAGAGTATTTTTGATAAAGATTTTTGTGGCTTTTTCCGTTATTGTCAATGCAGCCATGGGGCTTTCCTTCCACCTTCATTATGTGCTTAGAGGTGGTTCTGTCCTTGTCTTCCTTGCTTTGATTTAAAATAGCTAAAAGCTACATATTTAAGTGTTCAGAATAACATTACAGTTTATTTTGATATAAACTGTCTAATTTAGGGCTTCCCTGGTGGCGCAGTGGTTGAGAGTCCGCCTGCCGATGCAGGGGACACGGGTTCATGCCTCGGTCCAGGAAGATCCCACATGCCGCGGTGCGGCTGGGCCCGTGAGCCATGGCCGCTGAGCCTGCATGTCTGGAGCCTGTGCTCCGCAACACGAGAGGCCACAGCGGTGAGAGGCCCGTGTACCACAAAAAAAAAAAAAACCAACTGTCTAATTTAAACAATATTTCCCCTCATATTAAAAGCAATTTTTAACATTGTGCTCAAAGAACAAAATGATTGTTCCTCATGTTTTAGCTAAAATTAATTTAAAAACAAATGCCACGCTATTAGGCAGACAACATCATGTTGACATGCTTATAAAAGTTACATTCGAAACTGCTGTTAAAAAGTACCTGTACTGGGGCTTCCCTGGTGGCGCAGTGGTTGGGAATCCGCCTGCCGATGCAGGGTACACGGGTTCGTGCCCCGGCCCGGGAGGGTCCTGAGTGCCGCGGAGCAGCTAGGCCCGTGAGCCATGGCCGCTGAGCTTGCGCGTCCGGAGCCTGTGCTCCACAGTGGGAGAGGCCGCGGCAGTGAGGCCCGCGTACCGCAAAAAAAAAAAAAAAATACCTGTACTAATTTTAACTAGTTAATATTAATTTGTTACAATTCTTTTTATGGAGGAGAGCTTCAGGCTTATTTCAGATCAAGCATAGTGAGCAGTGCTGCTGCCCAGCCTGTAGCCTAATTGCCTCCACTGCTAATACAAGGACTTCCAGAGTCACAGGATCCGGACTTCATTTGGAGACCGATGCATATGTATTGATATGTGTATAATTGTTATATTTTCCCTTTCCTCAGTAATTTCCCACAGAAGTGAGTGAATGGTGGGTAAACGAGGGGGAGATTCCTTTCTGTGTGATATAATGCAGAGCGACTGTCGAGCCCCATGTGGACCAGCATCTGGGTCCCCTGAGATGAAGGCAGGAGTAAACAAGTGCTCAGTTCCAAACCCTAATCAAATTTCAGTTCTCCCCTGTAGCCCTGAAATCCTTCCTTGATTATACATATTGTTTATGGCTCTTGAATCACAGACTCTAAAGAAAACTTCCAGCATGAGGTTTTTCAGATGCTAAACTTTGAAGCTTAGAGATTCAAACCTGGAGTTACAGAAAGTTTCTGAGGGTCAGGGCTATTATCAGGAAAACCGGCAAAGGCTGGCTGGAGGGTATTGTGATATTTTCTTCTCTGGACACAAGGGGAGCAGACTCACGGAGTATGACTGCTGACCGTTCCATTCTGTTTTCCACAGAGCTGAGCTCATATTCATAATTACTAGCTGAGTAAAGTATAATGGGATGGAAGTGCCTTAATAGCATCCAGATTTCCACACACAGCAGCTTTCAGAGACCAGTAATCGGGTCAGTGCACTGGTGGAAGATGCCTGCCTGAAAGGCCAGCTAACCTTCAGAACTGAAGATTCTTCTAGAAGAAAAGCATGCTCACTGTTTTCCAGTTTCAGTTGGGGTCATACATACACAGTTCTTAAGACTGGAGATTGTAACTTTTTTTTTTTTTTGGCCGCACCGTGTAGCATGCGGGATCTTAGTTCCCTGACTAGGGATCGAACCTGTGACCCTGCAGTGGAAGCACGGAGTCTTAACCACTGGACCACCAGGGATGGCCCTGTAACTTTTAACTAAGTAATATCTGAAGGAAATGAAGCTATGCTAATGACACTGCCAGGAAATTCATCAAGTTTAAGCCTACCTTAGTTCAGTGGCCTTGATAAAATGTTAACTGGCATCAACTACATGTTAGACTAGAGTAAAATGCTCATGATTAATAAATTAGGGTAAAATGGGTAAATTAGGGTGATTTCCTACCATCTTAAAGTCTACCTTTGTGTAGTTCAATATAGTCAAATGTGTAGATCTAGGACATCGAGACCTGGACAGCTTCTAATTCATTCTCTTGCATTTATTTCCAGTATTTCACCAGAATAGATCCTTAACTGCTAAGGAAGAACTGATGTGGCATAAGCATTCGACAGAAATCCTTTCATAGTATTCATATGTCAGTGCTGACAGCAAACCATTTCAGTGGAAAGTCAGACCAGTAAGCTCATGGGAGATACGTAAACACCTTGAATTGACAGTGCCTGCTGAAGGGATAACCCACATCTTAATAACAGCAGCTTCTTTGATAGAGATAGGGATTCGATTTTGAACAAATCAGAAGAGGAAATGTCATTTAGCTCTGAAAAAGAAGTTTTCTGTTTCTAGACTAGGAAGGAAGAGGCAAAGCACAGCTGGGCAACCCACTATTTCTAGCTTCTTATAACCCTAATAAAAATTAACACGAAGTTAATCCTTTCTATTTATAATTAAATAGTTAAGTGAACGGATACGTGTTTGTCTTATTAAAATAACTGTAAGCTGGAGAAAAAGCTAGAATTTTCTTGGTGATGATAGTTCTTGTAACATGATATTAGAAAATACCGAAGAAAATCCCATAGCCCTGCATTAACCTGTTGGTTCACTTCCTTATAATTGTGGAAGTGTTGTCTGACTTAGTTTGAGCAAACAGCTAACTTTAAGGATCTGCAACCTGAAAATTTAATACAGCTCCTGGGGAGGAGTGAATCTGTTCCCTTCATTGGAAGCTTCCAAATAGGACGGAGGACTCCACCCCTCCCCTTTATTACTTAAAAACCTCAAGTAATATAAGACACAGCCAAAATAATTTAAGGCAAAACCCTATAAATACAACAAAATAAGAAAAAAAACCCTGAAGGCAAAAAAAAAAAAAAGATAATAAAAGACTAGATAATTAGGAAATTAAAAAATCTGGTTAGTAAAGGTACATTAATAATTCTTGTAATTAATGTATTTTTTAAGACTATTATTTTATTCCTTTCTCTCTGGAAAATGAAAAATGCATTAGTTTTTTTCCTTTTTCTTTTACCCAGAAATTAAAGGTTGGTAAGTGGTAATTAGCACAGCTCCTGTCAAAGCCAGTTGCCTAATGGGGACCGACATTTGACTTGAGTTGAAAGAACGGAATATGGCTAATGTAGAGTTCATGAGTCCCAGTTGCTTTCTTTGACGTTCTTTTCTCCTAACATAAGAACAGGCATGCCCTGCTCTCTCTCTCCTCTCCTATTTTTAGACATATTGCTGTGCTGCTACATTTCTATTCTAGAAGGCCTGGAGGCACCGTGGTGTAAGGAAGGTAAGTGGCAGCTGGGGCAAAATAACTGTCACTCCACATTTGGTCTAGGGTTTGCAGACTAAGGTCTTTGCTCCTGCCCCCATCTCTGGCCCTGGGGCGGTGAAAGGGAACCATTCCCTACACTGACTCTGTGCTGGGTTCTATGCTCTTCCTCATACTTAACTTCGTTTAACTCTTTTAATCTTGGGGCCTTAAGCTAACCTTACATTTTTGGAAACTACTGTCCCATAAGGTTAGACTCAACGTGGGTCTGTCTCACTTCAAAACCCATAGTTCTTTTTCCACTCTCCTATGCAGCTGAGATGCTTGGTGGGTTTGTTTCAAGTACAGAAGACCAACACCAACACCCAGGCCAGTCAACTAAAGCTCTGCTGTGTATTTGCAGAAATAACTGAAGAAAACATTTTTCATTCAGCAGGGCAAAGATGGAAATGTTGACAGAATTGGTGAATAGAGATGCCATTCTATCATTTCCGGCATACGGGCTTCCTTTACTACTGGGCTAACTACACAGCGCTCACAAGGCTGATTTACTTCTCTTACACCACCAGCACAGTGACTGCAGTTAGAAATCTTTGGGCAGTCATGTTGCAGACATATTAGCCCTTTTCCAGTTAGAGCTGACTCCAACTTATTCCACTGGTATTAACAAAACCAGTCATCTGGATGTAGAGTGGGAAAGACTATGTGGACTTAAGAGAAAATACAAATAAGTAGAAAGAACACTGGAATTAGAACCAGAAGACCTGCCTTTGAACCCTGGCCCTCCAATTAGCCTTGTGACATGAGGCAAGTCATTGACCCTCCCTGAGCACAACTTTGCTCATGCATAAAATGAGAGGCGACAAGCCACGCCCTGCTTATTAGCTCACTCAGTTTTGAGGGTCCAATGTGGTAGGAGCTGGCACACAGCAGACTACAAACTGCTATAAAAATCCTCAACTGGCATTACTGCCCCTCCAGGGGCATTCTGAAAATGTGTGGGGCTGTTTTCAGTTGCCTCAATACCTGGAGGTTGCTACTGGCATTGAGTGGGTGGGGTAGGATGTGGGATGCTCCTCTTCCTGCCAAGCACGTGACTGTTCCACACAATGAAGAATCATCCCATATCCCACGTGACTTTTTTTCCCCCTACCTGACTTTTTTTTTTTTTTTTGCGGTACGCGGGCCTCTCACTGTTGTGTCCTCTCCCGTTGCGGAGCACAGGCTCCGGACGCGCAGGCTCAGCGGCCATGGCTCACGGGCCCAGCCGCTCCGCGGCATGTGGGATCTTCCCGGACTGGGGCACGAACCCGTGTCCCCTGCATCGGCAGGTGGACTCTCAACCACTGCACCTCCAGGGAATCCCCGCCCCCACCTGACTTTTATATGTCATTCTGGATGTTCATAGGGATGAAAACCTCTTCCAAATTAGCCCCAAACCTAATTCTGTTTTATATGTAAATACAAAGTATTTTTTCCAGTTTTAACGTTCCCTGGATCTGTCAAGAATGCAGCCACCTTGTAAATCGAGGATAGATGTGTTACTCTGTCCAGAACATCACTGTTTTGGGAAATCCCATTACAAAGGGCAATGCTGCTTGTGGTATTTGAGTTGACAGTCACTACACACCACGCCTGGCTGCCTCTAACAGGTTCACAGTAATTCAGTGGGTAAGTACACGCATCTGACAGCTTCAATGTGCCTTTCGTATGGTCATCTCCAGAAAGTGACACTGAGATACACACCATTTTGTTGGAAATTATTTTCCTTTATTTCTTCTGAAATACTACATTTGGGGGTATTATGTTGATGAAGGTATGCACATAGGTAGGTTATCAGCTCTGGCTTTCATTTAAGGATAATTAAGAAGGCATTATAAAATATGCTATTAAAAAAGAAATATTGGGGCTAATAAGTGAGAACTAAATACGTAAGGCATTAGTAAGAGCACGCTGCGTAGGTCTGAGTCCTCCTTGAGGAAGGGCACAGCAGAAGGAAACAGTTCTTTTTGTTCTGTTTGTTTTCTGTACCTCTCCCTCGCCCTAGGACTTACTTATCGTTATATTTCTTTACTTAATAATTAGCCAATGTATCGGTTAATAGCATTCTGTTTTCCTCTAAGTATGCTTAAAAAGTATGCTTAAAAAGTAAGTCAAATAAGTCAGTAACTAATTATCTTTTCCCTGCAAGAGAGACTGCATTGTAGATTACAAAACCCGAAGAACAAGCTTGTACAGAAACGGGGATATAAACCAGAAGTCTCTGCTTTGCACCCAGAGAGACCTGGAGTCATATCTCATGGAGACTGATTTAATGACCGTTTTATACCCCCTGCTGATAAAACACATTAGAAAACTGAAAAGTTTCACTGTGGTAATGCATATAATTTCACAATACTGAATTAGCTATTAGAAATGGTGAATTACTCTCCATATGTCCCTATGGTCTGCAAATTTAATACGTGCCTTTAAAACAAACGAAAAAATTCCTTAACTTGAGAAACAAGTTTGTGGCCATAATCAACACTCTGATATGTCATCTTCTCTACTGTTATTTTGTGTTTAAAATTCTGCAGTTCCATCTTTAGAATAAGAATAGTGGGTCTATTACTATGATGGTTGCATAGTTCAACAGATTGAATCTTGAAAGAGATATACCATTTATCTGATGATGTAGAAGAAAAAAAAAGTAAAAAAAAAAAAATAGTGGGTCTGAAATATGACAATTTCTTTTCCCTGCCCTTTACAACTACTGTTAGAGAACATAAGAATTTGCAGTTAGAGGAGGTGGGATATTGCTGGTGCAGCTCTATGGTTCAAAATAGGTCAGAGAGCCCATGTGGAGATCTGGAATAGCTTTTCTGGAAAGGGCATGAAGCCTGTCTTCCAGCCTGTTCCAGGAGAACATTCTCGAAGGCAGGGGGTAGAGGAGTATGTAGGGAGCTACAAAGGTTAGGCTGAAGGTATTTACTGACACTGACACTGGTCACACTGGTTTTCTTTGGCATGTTTCTGGCTGCTGGCTATGTGGGGTCTCGTCTGGCTTGTTTGGGATTCTGCACTTCTCCAGGCAGCGAACTCCTCCTTGCTGAAATGCTCCTCAGAGAATACAAGCTCTGTACCTGCTGGAGGCGCAGGCTAAGTTCCTGATTACAGGTCTGTTGAACAGCTTCCGTCTTCTTTATGTCCCAGTTCAAAGCAACAGCCAGTGCTTTAGGGTCCTCCTTGGCAACCAACTGTGGCAAGAGTAAGAACCATTAAGAACCAGCACCTCTGCTGCTCTCGTAATTTTCTTTAGGGGGGTGAGAATCGGCAGTATCAGTCTATGTCATGTCTTTATGCTGAAATGCCAGGTCTCCTTCATATTCAATTGTCACAGGCCTCTTCTCACCATACAACACCAACAGGAAAGGACATCTAGAGAGTAGTTTACTTGGAGCAACAATAAAGTCCTCCGCTCACAGGAAATTTAGCCAAGCTCAAGTCAGTACAGCTTCTTTCCCTTCTAGCTACACCAAGGAAGTACTGGGAACAGGGGCAAGGGTGAAGCATAAGAAGGAGCACCAGGGACTTCCCTGGCAGCCCAGTGGTTAAGATTCTGCACTCCCACTGCAGGGGGCACAGGTTCTATCCCTGGTCGGGGAACTAAGATCCCACATGCCACTCGCCATGGCCAAAAATAAAATAAAATAAAAAATAAAAAATAAAATAACTGTGAAACAACTGATGAAACAAAAACACAAGCTACAGCAAATCCCCCCCCCCAAAGAAAGGAAAGAAAGAAGGAGCACCCACTTTGATGTGTTCCCTTCATCAAGCCTCCAGTTCCCTGGTCTGAGGGCACAAGATGATCCCCTTGAGTGGGCCTCTCTCAAGGATATTTTATGTGCTTCTATGGCCTATGGATCTTTTTCAACCACTGACAGATGCATCTCAGAAGCCTGAGTCCTGCTATTCCTCCCTGTCGGGGTCAGACATTTCATTACCTACTTTGGACCAGAAAATAATGTTTGATGATCTGAGGGAGGGCAACCATTTTGTTTAAGATTTGGATTAAATGAGATGTTTGCAAATGCTTTGCATATAATAATGGGCAAATTGACAGCTATGATTCAAGGTCTGCAGAGGTGAAAAAAACCTGATACAAGCCTCTCCTTGCAAAGGTCAGGGTCCCTGGTGCTCGCCCACCTCCAAATCTTTACTAGACAAACTCAGCTCTGGCGCGGGTTTCTCCTTCAGCGCATTAAGGATCTGGCTCGTAAGTGCAATTTCGGAGGAGCTCTCTCCAATACCCGTGTCAACTGCATCCCTCTCATCACCGAGGCCAGCTTTGGACTCTGCAAAGCAGATGTGAGACAGAGATCAGCACACCATGTACACATACAGCCATACCAACATCCAGCCAGAGCAGGCAGCTGGGCAGACAGAAGCCTGTCATCTCAAGATGCCAGCAGCTGTGGTTTCACTGTTCTTGACCACATGGTAAGCATCTGGCTCTCTCTCAAGGAGAGGCTCTACTGAGTTCTCAGTGTAACTCCCCCAGCCGATGAATCCTACCTTGCTGCTTCAACAGGATGCTGCCCTCCTTCTCCAAAGCCCGGAGGTAAAGCTCCAAGAGCTGCTTGGACTGACGGGCTTCCTCTCTCTGGTCAAGGACCTGCTGGAGGGTGTTCTGGAGCCCCTGGACTGCGACACGACTTTGGCTGAGTTCCTGAGCCAGCTCTGAACATGGGACATCAATAAGCATCTGACAAACAAATACGGACTTTAAGAAATCGGAAAGTACTTTCTAAACGTGATGTTATAGCTCTCAAATACATCAATTTCGCAGACTCATTACATCTAGTTCCCAAAGTTACCTAATATGGCTGCCTGAAAGTCAGGAAAGAGGCATGTAATTTTTTCAGTTTTCCTCTGGTGAAAAAATTAGGAAAATACTGCCTTAGTGCCTTATTAAAAACAAAACAAACAGAAATAGGGTCACAGATGTAGAAAACAAACTTATGGTTACTGGGGGGGAGGGGGAGGAGGGATAAACTGGGAGACTGGGATTGACATATACACACTACTATATACAAAATAGATAACTAATAATGACCTACTGTAGAGCACAGGGAACTCTACTCAATACTCCATAATGACCTATTTGGGAAAAGAATCTAAAAAAGAGTGGATATATGTATATGTATAACTGATTCACTTTGCTGTACAGCAGAAACTAAAACAATATTGTAAATAACTATAAACCGAATAAAAATTAAAACAAAACAAAATCCTCATATTAAATAACCCATTGTACATTGTACAGAATATAAAGGAGGAGGTGTATGATCACTTGTACAATGAATCAGTATGAGGCTATTTCAAGCAAAAGTCTTTCTGATGATCTTTTTTTTTTTTTTTTTTTTTTTTTTTGCGGTACGAGGGCCTCTCACTGTTGGGGCCCCTCCCACTGTGGAGCACAGGCTCCGGATGCGCAGGCCCAGCGGCCTTGGCTCATGGGCCCAGCCGCTCCGCGCATGTGGGATCTTCCTGGACCAGAGCACAAACCTGTGTCCCCTGCATCGGCAGGCGGACTCGCAACCACTGCGCCACCAGGGAAGCCCCTCTTTCTGATGATTTTAACCTTAAACATTTTTATTATACATGTTTGTACTTTGAACGACTAATTTTCAAATATAAACTACTCAGCTTTTAAATGACGTGTTCAGTCTGTGAAATAAGGGAGACCTCACTTATCATACCCTAGATTTTAAGAAGGCTCAATCTTGGCATATACAGCATTAGATTAAAAATAGTCTTCAGGGCTTCCCTGGTGGCGCAGTGGTTAAGAATCCGCCTGCCAATTCAGGGGACACGGGTTCGAGCCCTTGTCTGGGAAGATCCCATATGCCGTGGAGCAACTAAGCCCGTGCGCCACAGCTACTGAGCCCTCATGCCACAACTGAAGCCTGCGCACCTGCAGCCTGTGCTCTGCAACAAGAGAAGCCACCGCAATGAGAAGCCTGTGCACTGCAACGAAGAGTAGCCCCCGCTCGCCACAAGTAGAGAAAGCCCACGTGCTTGCAATGAAGACCCAAGGCAGACAAAAATAAATTAAAAATAATAATAATTAAAAAATAATAAAAAATAAAATAGTCTTCATAAGAGAAAGATCAAACTGTTGAAATTCTTGGAGAGTAAATCTAACTTCAGCTGCAGATTAGAATATGGAGCTTAATAAGAAATACAATAATAAGCGTTTGCATTTCTCGAGCACTTACTATGTATCAGTGAGAAAATTGATGTAAAACGCTTAGGACAGAAAGTGACGAGGTGGGCTGCTCTAGATTGGGAAAGGCCTCTTTGAAGAGGTGACTTTATAAGTTATCCTTAACTTTCATATTGCATCAATTTTCGAACAAGTAGTATTAATATACATTCATAAGGTTCAAAATTCAAGAGGTACAAACCTGAGGTAAGTACTAGTATTACCACCACCTTAACAGATGAGGAAAATGAGGCAAGAACAGTTAATAACGTCCCAAGGATCAGTCAGTTCTAATCCTCAGGACGCTGTGTAATTGATCCCTGGGCTCCTCCCTTCCCTCCCATCTGTTCTCACTCCCCATGGTCCCCGAGATGGTGGTACCTTTCCTCTACCTGTCGCATGGCCAGCCTCTGCCAGCTCCTGTCCTAAGCTTCCCTGTGGAGCCTAGCTGTCAGGGCCAGGCTCACTCATATTCTGGTATCCCTATTTTGGTAAGGACTGCTGTGCTCCTTATTCTAGGGGTATCATAATATACTAGTCTGTTGGGATGGGAAGGGATCTCATGACCCCTTTCTGTTTCTTTTTTTTTTGGCCACAGGGCATGTGGGATCTTAATTCCCCAACCAGGGATCGAACCTACACCCCCTGCAGTGGAAGCGCAGAGTCTTAACCACTGGACCGCCAGGGAAGTCCCCCCTTTCTGTTTCATAAAAAAGAAAAAACAGGGCTTCCCTGGTGGCGCAGTGGTTGAGAGTCCGCCTGCCGATGCAGGGGACACGGGTTCGTGCCCTGGTCTGGGAAGATCCCACGTGCCGCGGAGTGGCTAGGCCCGTGAGCCATGGCCACTGAGCCTGCGTGTCCAGAATCTGTGCTCCGCAGCGGGAGAGGCCACAACAGTGAGAGGCACACATACCGCAAAAATAAATAAGTAAATAAATAAAAAAGAAAAAGAAAAAACAAGAAAGAAAAGAAATCAAGCTTGCTCCTGCCCTCCCTCTGCCTGGAACACTCTGGCCCCAACATTTCCATGGCAAGCTTCCTCTTGTCCTTCAGGGTCTCCTCTTGGGACCTGCCAATGTTTCTCAACTAAATTCTATGAATTTATTCTATGCACAAGCATGTGTGAAAAATGACACTGATCTAAGCTTTTTGCACCACTGACTAGAAGAGCAAGACCGATGACACCCACATGTCCCCCAGTGGGGGAGTCTCATTAAATAAGTCATGGTACAGACATGAAATGGAATATTATGCAGTGGTGAAAAAGAGGTGAGGATGTCTTTTATAAACTGATCTGGAATACTTTCCAAATCTTTCTTTAAGACAGAGCAGAGGGCTTCCCTGGTGGCACAGTGGTTAAGAATCTGCCTGCCAATGCAGGAGTCACGGGTTCGAGCCCTGGTCTGGGAAGATCCCACATGCTGTGGAGCAACTAAACCCGTGTGCCACAACTACTGAGCCTGTGCTCTAGAGCCCAGGAGCCACAACTACTGAGCCCGTGTGCCACAACTACTGAAGCCCGTGTGCTTAGAGCCCATGCTCTGCAACAAGAAGCCACCGCAACGAGAAGCCTGCGCACCGCAATGAGGAGTGGCCCCCGCTCACCGCAACTAGAGAAAGCCTGCACTCAGCAACGAAGACCCAACACAGCCAAAAATAAATAAATAAATAAATAAATAATTAAAACAGAGTAGAGATGCTTCCACTTGTGTGATATAGGGGAGGAGGTGAAAACACTTATGTATTTGTTTGTATATAAAATATCTCTGGAATGGGAAACTGACAGATTGGTTGTCTCCAGGAAGGGGAAGTTGGGTGGCTGGAGGCAGGAGTCAGACTTTTCCTGTATATCCTTTTTTTTCTAAACAGCTTAATTGAGGGATTTCCCTGATGGTCCAGTGGTTAAGACTCCATGCTTCCAATGCAGGAGATGTGGCTTCAATTCCTAAGATCTAAGGAACTAAGATCCCACATGCCCCGTGGCCAAAAAAACCCCCCCAAAACCCAGCTTTATGGAGATATAGTTAATATACTATACAATTCACCCATATAAAGTGTATAATTCAGTGGGTTTCAGTATAATTAGTGGTCTTGTGATAGTGCAATCACCACCACAATCAGTCTTAGAACATATTCACCACCCCAGAAAGAACTGTACCCATTAGTAGTTCCTCCTTATTCTCCCTCAAAGCTCCCCACCAACCCCATCCCTAAGCAACCACTAATCTACCTTCTATTTCTATGGACTTGTGTATTCTGGCCATTTCATATAAATGCAATCATAAAATATGTGGCCTTTCATGTCTGGCTTCTTTCACTTAGCATAATGTTTTCAAGTTTTATCCATGCTGTAGCATGTATTAATACTCCATTCCTTTTTATGGCTGACTAATATATTCCATTGTTTGGATATACCACATTTTATTTATCTAGTTATCAGCTGACGGACATTTGCGTTGTCTTACTTTCTGGCTACCTGTGTATCCTTCTATACCTCTTGGATTTTGAACCATGTGAAAGCATTAGTATGATTTATTCACAATAAATATACAAGTGTAAAAAATCACCACAAGGTCGCCTCCTTCCAGGAGCCTTCCCGCCACTCTTGGCACACTGCCCTGTCTGACATGCTGCTTATTTTGTCGGCCTCCTTCCACCAGGACTTGAGTTCCATTAGAGCAGGGACTGTGTCTGGCTTGTTCACCATTGCACCCCTGTGCATAGAACTGTGTCAGGCAGAGGACCGGGGCTCAATAAATATTTTTTTGAGTTAACAATACTATTTTTATCCTAATTCTACTGGAGAGGAAACATAAGCAGGGAGGCTAAGTTACCGGTTCAAAGTCACAGAGATGGAGCTAAGATTTAATCTGCATTCTTTAGCAGTACATCCTTGACCCACGCCTTGGTCCTAAATGGGTCTAGGTGAGGCCTTGGCGTCTGTGTTTTTAAAAAGCTCCACTGGTGATTCTGATGCAGGGTTAGGGGTGAAAATTTCCTACTCTAGGTGAGAGAATTAGAAAATGAAGAACCTTGGTTGTCATCTAAGAATTACTTAAAAATTAAGAAGCGATGAAATTATTATGGCAGGATGCATGGCAACTAAGGCACTGGGGGAAGCACAGGCTGGAGGAACGTGGCTATGGGTTGCGGAGGAGGCTTACTTGGAGGTCCTCCTCGGACAGGAGGATGATGCTGGACAGGTCTTCTTTCAGCTGCCTGGCCACATTCTTCCACTTCAACCCTGCCCCGCTGTCTGTTTCATCTCTGTCAAAGGACTCTTGGGTAATCCAAGCCGTACCTCCATCTGATACATGGGAGAAAATGCCAGAGTCAGATTAACCGGAAGTGCTGTTTTCACTTCCTCCTCCAACTCAGACCTCGAGGATGTCGGCACATCCTTCCGACAGATCACTTAGAATAATTTAGATGGTGAAGGAAGCACCTTTTCTCAGAGATTCATGGGGAAGCCAATCCCCATCTAGGACCTTAATTTTCCCTCTTGTTCCATCTTCCATTTCTTTCTTTCTTTTTTTTTTTTTGGCTGCAGCATGCGGGGATCTTTGGCATGAGGGACCATTCGCTGCGGTGCGTGGGCTTCTCTCTAGTTGTGGCGCGTGGGCTCCAGAGCACATGGGCTCTGTAGTTTGTGGCACGCGGGCTCTCTAGTTGTGGCGTGCAGGCTCAGTAGCTGTGGCACGGGGGCTTAGTTGCCCTGTGGCATATGGGACCTTAGTTCCCTGACCAGGGATCGAACCCACATCCCCTTCATTGGAAGGTGGATTTTTTTTACCAGTGGACCACCGGGGAAGTCCCCATCTTCCATTTATTTCTGTGTGAAACTGCTCTGTATTCTTTTATGGAAGGAAGCCACTTAAATCCAATGTATGCTTATGCATAGCCAGGATACTGTCACACTTCCCTTTTTTTTTTTTTTTTTGCAGTACGCGGGCCTCTCACTGCTGTGGCCTCTCCCGTCGCAGAGCACAGGCTCTGGACGCGCAGGCCCAGCAGCCATGGCTCACGGGCCCAGCCGCTCCGCGGCATGTGGGATCCTCCCGGACCGGGGCATGAACCCGCGTCCCCCGCATCGGCAGGTGGATTCTCAACCACTGCGCCACCGGGGAAGCCCTAGGTTAGTTTTTGTGTCTGTGGGTGTGTTCTGTTTCTGTATGCAAAAACATTCATCCTTATCAGCACTTCTCCTGCGCTTGGGGATGGGTCTTATCCTTGACTGGAGCAGCTGCAGCCACTGTTCGCTGTCCCTTGGGCCCAAGTACAAAGGTGGCTGGAAAAGCCATTGCTGAAGGGTGACCTCCTCACTTTAGTGGCCTAGGGACTTTCCTCAAGACACTTTTTTAGCTCTTTGATCCTTGCCCGTCAATATTAGTTCCCTTTGTATTTCCAGTGAGGATGATGCTAATGATGGTGATAGGTAATATTTATTTGTCTTACTGTGTACCAGGTAAGATCTAAATGCTTTCTATCAGTGGCTCTCAATTGGGAGTGATTTTGCCCATCCCACCCCCAGTAGACATTTGACAATGTCTAGAGGCATTTTTGGTTGTCACAATTAGGGTGAGGAGATGCTACTGACACCTAGCAGGTAAAGGCCAGCGATGCTGCTAAACATCCTGCAAGACACAGGACAGCAACCCCACAACAAAGAATTCTCCGGCCCAAAATGTCAGTAGTACTGATGAGAAGCCCTGGCTTGATATGTACTATGTTCTAGTATCCTTACAACAATGCTAGGAGACAGGTACTGTAATTATTATCTCAATACAGGGCTGAAATGTTAGATAATTTGCTCAAGGTCACGTGGCTAGTAAATGGCAGAGCCAGGATTCAGACCAGACAGTCTGACCCAACCTGCGGCACAGATCTCTCTCCCTTGCTGCGTTTTAGTTGCTGTCGGTCTGTGAGTTATTTGAGAACTGAGCCCGTCTCATTCATCTTCATCCCCAGACTCAGCACCGCTCTGGTATACAGAAGGTGCTCAGTAAACGTCTGCTGCATAAATGCTTAAAACAGCCAACCAAACAGCAACCAGGTGCCTATGCAGTAAAATAAATCATGATGGATGGTATATAGTATATACGGCCAGCATTGCTTACCTGAATTGTTGTAAGCCCACTTCTCATTCCCAGCCAGTGCCACAAACTTAGTATTGGCAGGAAGACACAGGAAGTAATCGTCATCATCCACTATGGTGCCATCCTCTGCCAGGACCAGGGTGACTGGTGCCAGGGACTTGTCAATGGCCAGAATGTCACAAGCTGAGAGGAATAAAATATTTGGTAATTGACAAGTATCCATAGGGAAATTACATCTCTCCTTGCACTCTCAATATGTATGCCCCGGGACTTCCCTGGTGGCACAGTGGTTAAGAATCTGTCTGCCAATGCATGGGACACAGGTTTGAGCCCTGGTCCGAGAAGATCCCACGTGCCACGGAGCAACTAAGCCCATGTGCCATAACTACTGAGCCTGTGCTCTAGAGCCCGCGAGCCAGAACTGCTGAGCCCGTGTGCCGCAACTACTGAAACCCGCACGCCTAGAACCTGTGCTCCGCAACAAGAGAAGCCACTGCAATGAGAAGCCCGCGCACCGCAGCAAAGAGTAGCCCCCGCTTGCCTCAACTAGAGAAAGCCCCCATGCAGCAACGAAGACTCAGTGCAGCCAAAAATAATTTTTTAAAAAAAAGTATGCCCCCAGAGCCTAGAAAAATCCCTGGTAATAATAACTATAATAACTATAATGATGACCACTAGTACTAATATAACACTTACCATGTCCCTGGTACTGTACTAAGTGCTTTTCACATACAGCATTTAATTTCCTAAAAATCCTATAACGCAGATACTATTGTTACTCCCATTTTTACGGATGTCAAGCCCAAGGCTCAGAGAAGTTAAGTAATTTGCCCAAGGTCACACAGTAAGTGGCAGAGCCGGTATTTCAACCCACACAGTCTGGCTCTTGAAAATGTGTTTTTCTTCCAGCTACTCTACACCCACATTAGGATGCACTTGAGCCTTTACTTGGATGAACAACAAACCAAAGTCTGATTTGATTCCTTGAGAACAAGCAGTCTTTCATTCATTTCCTCAGTGGTCTACTCAAATTCTCCCATGTGTCAAATGTCACAAAGAAAAAAGAGAAAAAGAAAAGAAGAAAATTATAAAAAAGAAAAGAAAAAAAAATGACTTTATGTTCTCACAGTATCTTTCTTGGCAGCCTTACTAACCTATAGGAAAGTATAAGAGAAGCAGAAGGCAGAAGTTTGTAACAGTAGCTTTTCATCTTTATGATCACTGGGCAAGAGGCTTTGTCCAGGGCAGGTCTGTACCATCCCATTTAGTAACGGCAATGCCTAAAATGCTAATGGGACTAGAGTAGGCAGAGAAGTAGCCAAGAGACTACAAAGATCATTGGACAATGCTGTCTTTCACCCAAATAGAACAGCAAGCCTTGTATAGGCCGAGCTCCAGAAACACAAGCATTTACATAAGCCTCTGTGCCAAATGCATCCAGCCACTGCACTGATGGGGCACTAAAATTTAAGCAACTTCATGCCAAGCAAAAAATATGTAAACACTTATATGGCAAAAACCATGTCACTAAAGCATTTAGAGTGCTTTGGCTGTTCCTGCATCTCTGAAAGACATCTGTCTGATATCTATTGGGCTTGGTGACCCTGGGAGGAAGCCCTGAACACGCTGACACACACGTCCACTACATGCCCGGGGATGACACACACGTTTAACCAATAGAACTTCTTTGGGTAAGCAATTTACTGCTACAGGCCAGCAACATGTAAGTTATTTGAATATCTCATCTCCTTCCAGAGTCCCAATCCTGTGGAGCAGGGCTGGAAATACACCCACTTTGCTGATGAGAAAACTGGGGATGGAGAGATGGTTAAGTGCAAGGTCAGGCAGCTAGTAACGGTATGCGGCTCAGAATTTCTGTCAACTCGGTCACTCACAACAGACGTTCCTTGTCTGGCCCTCCCGGATGGTCGGTAACAGCTCCCTCTTTACCGCACAGGTACCTGCCAGAGCTGACTGTGGAAACCCGCTCCCACCCCGCCGTAGGCTCAGCTGGGGGACCCAGTACAACCTTAGGGAGCCTGAGTGGCAGGAATACAGTGGACTGAGTTCGATCCAAAATCTGAGTCATCTGAGGCGAGGCACCGAAGTAGAGTCTGTCTTAATTCGCATATTGCTTCCCGTCTGCCTCTCCACCATATGAATCTCACACAAGATAAATTAAGTTAAAGTGCCGGAAAACGCTATGAAACTGCTAAGTCGCCATATCCACCTGAGTCATCTCTGTTCCAAGGCTCCACTCGAGCGACAAGAAGCCCCAAGTCGCCTCTCCTGACCCCGCCTTGCCCCACCGGACATCCCCATCTCTCCCCGGGTCCCTTCAGCCCGGGCCCCGGCCCCGCAAGTCCTCGCCCCCTTCCCGTGCCAACCCTTGCTCCTCAGCTCCTCGAGGCAGGAGGCCGCCACGCCGTGCTGTTCCCGGCTGTGGTTGCGGCACAGGAGACACTGCTTTAGAGCCCGGATCTCGCTGGGTTCTGGAACGCTGGGTCCCCCGACCACCTCCGTCATCTTCAGGGTCTGACCTGACCAACGCGGGGACGTCAGGGGGTTGGGCGCGGGAGTCCTACCCGACTCCACCCCCACGGCATGCCGGGAGATGTAGTTCTCGCTGTAGCAAATCACGCGTGGGACCAAGGCACGCCGGGAGGTGTAGTTCTAGTTGCAGCTAATCCCCTGCGGCCCCGGGGGCATGCCGGGAGCTGTAGTCTGTGGGTTCAAAGCCGACTTAGGTCGCGCAATCCGGACGCCGGAGGTGGTTTTTTTTCCTGCCTTATATTAAGGAGTTGCATTCGCGCGTTCAAAATGAGGTCAATAGGGATTTACTTTGTATTATGAAGGACACGCCCGTATACTCCCTTGAATTGTTACAGCACTCCTTTCAGTATATATAGATAGATGCAAGATATTAATACATAAAGCAGTGTCATTGTACTGTGTTAATTTGTTTTTCCTTTCCAACCTGAACAAATCTATAAAATGTCCCAACCTTCACGCTGATCTGAAGGAAGTCAGTTTTAAAAAGTGATGAGTGTAGCTTTCAGTCTGGCTGAAAACATAACAGAGAAGCATAAGGTACTCGCACATTTCCACTCTTTTTTTCTTTTTAACACTAAAGAGGCTTTTAATTATGTAATATTATCTATAAGTACAAAGACTTTCCCAATCACGTCACTTAGAGATAATTTTATCCACTGCTCTGTTTGGCAGCCAGTCTCTTGTCTCTCTCCTCAGCAATGGTAAGGCGGATACCCTTTCCACGAGGAAGAGAGATCCATGGTTTGTTGCCTTTGCCAATAACAAAAATGTTGGAGAGCCGCGTGGCAAAGCTATTGCCGTTGGCATCTTTCACATGAACTGCATCAAAAGAACCAGGATGTCTCTCCCGGTTAGTGATCACACCAATTCTTCCCAGGTTAGCACCTCCAGTCACCATGCACAGGTTACCAGTGTCAAATTTGATTAAATCAGTAATCTTGCCAGTCTCCAAATCAATCTGAATGGTGTCATTCACCTTGATGAGGGTATCAGGGTAGCGGGTGGTGCGAGCATCATGGGTCACCAGATGAGGGATTCCTTTTGTCCCCATAAAGACCTTTCTCACTTTGCATAACTTATACTTGGCCTCCTCAGGTGTAATACGATGAACAGCAAAGCGACCCTTGGTGTCATAGATCAGATGAAAATTCTCTCCAGTCCTGTCAATGCTGATGACATCCATAAAACCAGCAGGGTAGGTTATATCAGTGCAGACCTTGCCATCAATCTTAACGAAACGCTGCATGCAGATCTTTACTTCATCTCCTGTTAGGGCATACTTAAGTCTGTTCCTTAGGAAAATAACTAGAGGGAGACATTCCCTCAGATTGTGGGGACCGGTAGATGGACGAGGAGCAAACACACCAGTTAGTTTATCCAGCATCCAATGCTTTGGAGATGCTACGCGCTTCAGGTGCTTCTTGGGACCACAAGGCATGGCTGCGCTAGGCACGGAAATAGCTCCACTCTTTCGATTCCCTGCTTCAGCTCTGCAAATTGGGTTGGGACGTCGGAACGAAATGCTTAAATAACTAGATTAAACATTAAGGTCTCAAAGAAACCAGAGAGAAAAGGGTGAATGCGAACCACATTACTGTTGAGATTGTTCAGATGCTGCTTGACAATACATTTGTCTTTGTTCTAATACTGTTACTTATGGAAAAGTCTGTGTTTTTCACTCCTGAAAAACTAACATTTAAGATTAAAGTAATAATTTAAAAATTATCAGAAAGTTTCCTTGCTTAAAAAGGGGCATTCTCCGCGCACCGCGATGAAGAGTGGCCCCCACTTGCCGCAACTAGAGAAAGCCCTCGCACAGAAACGAAGACCCAACACAGCCATAAATAAATAAAATTTAAAAAAAGGGGGGGCATTCTATATAAACAAGGAATAATTATCAGCCCGTATTCATTCAGGGTCAATCTCTTTCATATTTTGTTTATTAAAGGAAATCAGATATTATGAGAAAAAGACATGTAAAATTGTTTGGTAGGAGGAATTGTTAACTGAGGCAACCCTTTTGAATACACCATCATTGATCAAAAAACAACTGCAATGTAACTGATAGTTCTAATGTATGCAGCCCTTTCGTATAATTTCACAGTTAGCTTAAAATCTAACAACTCAACCGCTATAAAGTGAAAACGGTTCGTAGAAGCCTCTCCTCTCCAAAAAGCCCCCCTTCCGAATTCTCCTAATAGACCTGCATACCGTTATCAGACTCCTAGCTCCAAGATGTAATTGCGTGTGTGTGTGTGTGTGTGTGTGTGTGTGTGTGTATTTGGCCTAGACTTGAGAGCAGGGGTTGAGTCTTGCATCTTTTTATTTCTCGCGGCTACCAAAGTGCCTGGCAAATGGTAGGCACTCGACTGAACCATCAGTTAATTAATTAATTTCCAGGTTTCTTCACATTCATTCATTTATTAAATACTTAGGGTGTCCCTACATGTGCCCAAGGCACTGTGAAGATGGGCAGAGATTTAATTCAATAAGTATAATATACATATAAGAAAGCAAAAAGGACAGGCATCTTTCTTGCTGGAAAGCAGAGACCTAATGGAAACCGTAAGCGGTGTGAGGGATGTGGGAGCTCCCCTCTCCTCCCCGGGCGTCCCCCATCGACAGCTCAGTTCCGGCTACTTTAGTCTGGGCGAGAGAGCGAGAGCGAGGGCACTTGGGAGAAGCCTCGCCCAGCGGCGATAGACTAGTCAGGCCTCAGAAAGATGGCGTCTTCGGAGCAGGCAGAGCAGCCGAGCCAGGTGAGGGTAGTGGGACTGCCCCGCCGTACTGGCGGGGACCCCGCTGGAGGGGGCGCTCGGCGGGTGGCTGGGAGCCCGGTGGGGACCCTGAGCCTCGGAAGCCGGGGGCTCCGACCTCTTGCCCCCTCCGGGGCCCCGCCCCTCCCCGGGTCCTCGCCGCCCGGCCCCTCCCCGCGTGACCCCTCCTTGACCACATTCCCGAGCAGGGGCCCGGGGGCGCCCGAGGGCCCCCCTCCACTTCCCGCCTGCCGGCCCCTCGGGTCCCACTTGTGCTTGGCCAGGTCGGTGGCGGGACCCTTGAGAGGCCCCCCCCCAGGCTTAAGCTGCGAGGGCCCCTGCTTGAGGAGAGGGGTGAGAGAGGCTGGATCGTTCCCGGCCCTTCCCGCTCGGGATAGGCCTTACTCCATCAGGGTTCACTCTCTCTCGCAGCCTCAGCCTTCTGGGTGGCCCCGCTGCCAGCCTCTTCGTCTTTAGTCACCTTTGCGTTTTCCCTGCCAAGTTGGAGGGGGGGAAATGTACTTGGATCCTCTCAGTGCGTTGGTAGGAAGTGGACTCGCTGTAATGAACCGACGCCACCGAGCTTTTGGCTGGTGATCCGTCTTTGCTGCCCAGAGTTAGGTTTTCTTGGCCAGGGGCTCTAGCTTTTCGGCCACAGACTCAGCCGAATCCCACTCCAGTCGGGGGACCTTGAGGACCAGTGCTCCTGCCTGTACGTCTGCTCTGCTGTCAGGAAGCAGTGGATGCTAAGGCCTCTGTAGGCGTTTGTAGTCCAAAGGTGGGGTGGGCTGAGGTGAGGAGGATGGGGTAAGCGGTACCTTACAATTACGGAGTGTGTGCTGTCATGCGGAAGACAAATTACGCTTATTATCTCGTTTAATGCTCATTACAACCTTTATGAAGTACGGGCTATTAACCGCCATTTTGCAGGGTCTGTAACGCGCCGCAAATCGGTTTGAACCCGGCTGCGTGTGTGTCCACTAGTTAGCCCTACATGTTTAAGTTTAGTTAGGATTAGATAGAGGAGGAAGAAACTGGTTTCAACCTGGACCTCATCACTCATCTCTCACCTGCTTGAAACACCTGTGGACTTCTCAGCGGCCTCCTGGTATTTCAGTTCCTTCCTTGGAAGAATACGGCTTAGTGTTTCTTGTTGCTCTTTTATTCTTCATGATAATTCTGTTACAGGAATTGCACATAGAGGAGTTGTGAGTTCCCCAGACCAGCTTCCGTTAGCAGAGTGAATGATTCAGAGAGATGTCCAGATTGTAAAACGTGAGAAATATCTAGGTCTGATTCTGGTCTTCTCACTGTCGGAAATTCTGGAGTGTGGAGAGTGTCCTGGTGGTGGGGTGGGCCCTCCTTTCCTGCCTTAACCCGCTTAGCTTGCTGAAATGCTGAGGCTCCTCAGAATCTAGGTTCCTCTGAGCTGTTACATGTTAGGAATGCCCATAGGCTGGGATTAAAGGATGCCAGCGCGTGTAATTTGCCTGTGCTGTGAAGGTTACTAAAAGTTCTGCCACTCGGAGCCTTTGTAGTGCCCAAGGATTCCTTTGGTTCTGGAAATTGTCCTCTCTGTACACGTGCAAGGGATCTAGGTTCCTTAAGGGGGCTGGGCCAGCACTTGTTTGGTTTTCAACTCTGCTGCTGCTTTGCCCTCCTTTCCAAAAGCTGATGGAGATGGGATTGCATCAGAAAATGCTGGCAGCTTGGGAAAAAACTTGAATGCTTTACGCCAAATTCTGTCACTGACAATAAGCTGCAAATGCACACATAAAACAAAATTTTTTTTTTAAAGTTTTATTTTTGGCTGTGTTGGGTCTTTGCTGCTGCGCTCAGTCTTTCTCTAGTGCGGCGAGCGGGGGCTACTCTTGGTTGCGGTGCGCGGGCTTCTCATTGCGGTGGCTTCTCTTCTTGTCGAGCACAGGCTCGAGGCACGCGGGCTTCAGTAGTTGTGACTCACGGGCTCTAGAGTGCAGGCTCAGTATTGTGGCGCATGGGCTTAGTTGCTTCGCGGCATGGGGGATCTTCCCGGGCCAGGGCTCAAACCTTGGTCCCCTGCATTGGCAGGCAGATTCTTATCCACTGCACCCCCAGGGAAGCCCCAAACGCACACATTTAAAGTAAACCAACTCTCTCTAGCAGTTGCTTCTCATTTCATTTTCTAGTCCTGATCAGTGGGTTTCCCATTTCTCCAGTAAAGCAGAGTGGAACTGAAAGAATGAACTGTTTGGGTATTTCCTCTAAACCTGGTTTGTGTCTGA